CACTAACAGTCACTGCAGTTCTGAATCCCCTCCTCCAAACTTCTGAATTGCTGATTCCTGTGACACGCTAGCCCCGGTTTCTCTCCAAACTCACTTCCACAACAGATTATTCAAAAACAGTGATAGTAAAGTACAGGACCATTTCTCTCCAGCTTGTCTTGTAAAGCCCTACCATGCCCCTCAAGTGGTGTGAAGAGCCAATACAAGGCTACCAAGCAATGCTAACTTTAAAGGAATAACCACTCTTGCAAGCTAAAGTGCAGCAAGGTGTTGAAGTGCCCCCACATGTTAGGATTTCATAATCAGAAAAAAAGCCATTTTAGTGCTCAAATGATAAACTTTCAAATAGCACTTTGTTGAGGAAAGAATGGGACACTTGGTTTGTCATTCTTTCTCCTTCAGTTGCCAAAATAGCATAACTGGAGCACACTGTATGCTGAATCATGTTTGATTCAACAAGGATTACGTCTACTGAGCTGACTGCATCCTTGTAGCACGGAGTTTATACATTCACTCATCTACAGATCATGATTTGTGTTAAACAGGAGAAAATATTCTTTACTTGCTCACTGTATTCAATGTAGATGTATCTGGGGGTGTACTCTGCTCTTCACATGGGAATGTATGGATGTGCATTATATGTTCTGCATTATGACTTCTTCCTGCTATTAAAACCATTTTTATGTAAACAGCATTGAATGATGATTAAGAAAATTATCCACTACAACATTCGCTGGTTTAAAAAAAGAGGTAAGAGCCACTGCCTCATTAGGAAAAGGAGAAATATCTGAAAGCAGCTCATTTTTCATTTGTATAGAAGAGGAATCAGAACTAAATCTTATTTTCTAAGAAGTGAGAAAACAAAACATGTAAGAATTTAGACCTCTGACCACCTCTGAAAGGGAAAGCTAATGGAAACTGCACCTCATGGGGGACATTACTGCATATCATCACCTGACAGTGACCTTGAGGGAAATGAAACTGAAGAGAAATGGAACTGGATGCAAGGGAGGTAGAACTGTTCTCATATCTGAATCTGCAGCAGAATAGTCAAATTGGATATAAAGTACAGCTAAATTAATAAATACTAAGTGAACAAATATTTTCAAGCTTTGCAAAGGAATGGCATGCAGCCTGAAAGAAAGGCAAAGTCCTGCATTTTTTGCCATGTTGTACAAATGCAGGACACATCGTGACTCAGTCAGAAAAAGAAAATTTATAGAAGTCCATCAGTTCAAGGGGTGTGCCTTCAGAAAACCATTAAGCTTTGCAAGGAAGAGGCTGTGGAGAGCTGAGCATCCACAGTTCATTGAAAAGTTCTTATAGAATTTCTTGGAGATGCCAATTTAAAATACAGTTAAAACTTTTTTTTCCCCTTATTTCTGGAGTGGTTGGTTAAGGTAATTCACAACTTTCCTAAGTGTGAAGATCCTACAGCCTGCATTGTATTGCCAGTACTGAACAACTATGTGTTATGTAAAAAGGTGCTCAGCTGTGAGTCTAATTCCCAAGCACAGGAAGTTTCCCACTGCTGCTCCAGCACCAAAGCAAGCTCCAACAAGTATGCTGCCAGTGCTGGTGAGCTGCTGAAAGCATGACAGCAGTGAGGAGAAAAAGTCTGTGGGGCTGGGAGAAAGAGAAGGAAGCCTATGGTTGGCATCCTAATGACAGGATGGACAAAATGGAGGAGTGTGGAAAGGCTGGTGCAAAGTCAGTCATGGTAGTTACTGTTGGAATCCTCAGCCTTGGCATAGCTGACACCATCGAGACCAGCTGCTACCCACCAGTAGCTATGGTTGGTTGCTGCAGCAAGCAGTACCCAAAGAAAGATTTATTTGGAAACCCCTGCTTCATGCAATATGTGTTTCCATTTGAGGTTTCCAGCCTTCACACAGGAAAAAGATTTTTTACTTGAAACAGAGTCAAAATGCAATAATGAAAAGCAAGTATTCTGTGATACATTTTACAATACAAGTTATAAGGTCTGTAAGTACCAGAGACTCGATGAATTTAAAGACAACACTTATTTCTTATCCTGGCCACAGGTGGAAATGTGGTAGGATATATTCCCGGGTGCAGGTGATGATTGTGCACACGCTCCTGAGCACATCCTGTAGCCCTGTTTGCAGTCCCAAAGCAGCAGCTTTGCCTCGTACAACACCTCAAAAAGGGCATGAAATCCTTCCTCCTCTCAGCCTCAGTCCATTGAAAATCTGAGGGTGTGCTGAGATCCTACAGAGAAGATAGAATGGGAGTGTCACATTTATTCACCTGCAGAGTTGTCTCTCACAATGGGACACAAGTGTGATCCTCACCCTGACTTCTGGTGACCCATCCCTGCGAAACTGTAGCAGGCACCCCTTGGAGTGGCAGAGCCAGCGCAGAAAATATATATGTTGATAGCAAAATGGCTCTTCTCCCTGTTCCAGTGTTAAGTGCCCACTGAATGAGTTTGACTCCACAATCTCAAGGACAGCCAGCTCAGGTTGCTTCCTCCAATACTAATACGTAAACAAGTTACTCACTTGTTTTTTTTTTTTCTTTTTTCTGTTAATGTTACTCAAAGACAGCAAAATGCTGTAGACTATTCATTCCGTTTCCAGTTGTGGAAACAGAGCATATGTAATTACCCATGTGGGTAGCAGTCCATCTCATATCCTTACTTATGCCACTGAAGGATATTATCTCATTATATCAGCTTAGCAGCCTTCTTTCCCTGGAATTTGAAATAAGCAAAGCTCATAAAGGAATGATGAAAAAAACTAATTATATAGGACATTATTTTAAAAACTGCACGGTAGTCAAAATCCATTAATGGACTATTTTACATCATTAAACTACTTCCAAGAAAGTATCTAGGCTTTTTCAGCATAAACATTTCTACATTGAAAATGCAACTTGAATCTAACTCTATGGTTAGCTATTTTTTTAATAAGTATAATATGTGCTTTCATTTACAATAGAGCAAAGATTAGTGAAATTTTTAACTTCATTATGTCTATCATCCAAAGTAATTTAGAAGATAGTCCTACTACACAGAGACTCTTCTGCACTAGAATGTTAATAATGACTAGCTTCTGGGGAAACAGAAAATAAACCTGCAAGCAAGGACTTCTTTTAACACGTGTTTTGGGATTTTTATATGAATAGAAAGTACTATTCTAATTCAAAAGTAAAATATTTCTGGACTTTTACAAAGTTCTTCGGTACATTTTTTAGGCCACAATACAAATAGACTTTGCTTTGGTCTGTAACACATGGTCCTTCAACCCAGCTGAACTTCGAGCTTAAATCCATTCCTTCCTTCCTGTTTACTTACTCCAGAAAGAAAGCTCCTGCAAGGATGTTATTTGAAACATCTTTATCAGTACTCAGTTGTGAGTGGAACCCTGCTGCCAACCTCACTATGGGATGCAGAGTCCAACTCTGAGGACTATCAATATGGGAAGTGAGGTTGTTACCAGGGGCAACAGAGGGGAGTGGTTCTGAAGGGATTGAATCAAATACAGCCTTCTTTGAAAGGTGCAGTATTGTAGGGTAGCCCAGGACTGCCGATGGGGTCTGACCTAAACTGATCTTGGCCACCAGGATGTTCTTTCTGATCCCAGTGTCTCAGAAGTGAGGACAGCTGTTGTTAAGTCCTGTGGGACAGGTCTCATGGTTTGAGAAGAATGTTCCTGCCATGCATGTGTCTCACTGTACAAGGAAGGTCTGAGACCCTGCTTACAGCAGGAAACTCTTTCAAAGATGGCACCCAGGAACAGAATTTGCTTAAGCTAGCACCTGAACTGAACTCTTTCCTGGCAAGAGGAATGCACCTGTTACATCAGTGCTCTGTGCCATATATGTGTCAGTAGCTGGTTAACAAAACTCAGGCCTGGAAGCAATGCTTCATTACTGTATTTGGTAGCAGGACTAATAAAGTTCATTGTTCGGTTTCACTACAAATGGCTTCCTTTATGCTGCAGATTTTTAGACCAGTTCTTAACTAGACCTAACAGTTGTATTAGGCAGACTGAAGGCATGATCTTACCAGGAGACTCTTATTCCCATGAAGTGAAAAGGAAACTTCTGAAACATTCCTAGAATTGCCCTTGGGCTTCTGAAATGACTATCTCTCTCTAGCAAGCCTGCTGTAACTTCTGTTCCAGAAAGAAAATTAAAAAAAAATCAAGTCAGGCTGAGTTGTAGTTTATTTAAGACTCGAGTGTAACATTAATTTTAAGGTTGATGTGAGAAATAAATCCAGCTGCCTTTTACAGCAAGCAGTTTGGTCAGTCTGGCCTTAGCAGAGCTCAGCTCACTGACACATCACAGCTTTCCCTCTGAGCTCCTAAGCCCCAGTGGCACAGCAGATTCACTTTTTGCTCTCAAAGAACATGGGGCAAATAGGCTGTTCCCATAAGGAGGGAGAGGAGCTCAGCTCATAGACCACAGGCTCAAGTGTATGATGCAGATAGTGAAGAGGAATTCACAACAGGCAGTTTCTGAGTATCTTCTGTATATGCGGAATCAGGAGCTGGACTTGGAGATCCTTGTGGGTCCCTTCCAATTTGGGATGTTCTGTGATTCCATAAATTGGTGGGAGCACAATTTGGAACTGTTTGTGCTACTCAAAGGGAACACCTGGAGCAGATGCAAAGGATCCCAAGCTCCTCTTGTCCTAGACTGATTGCAGATGGATACTTCCTGGGAGAGGGAGAAGAACCCTGCTCAGATGCTATGTTACCTCTGTGAGTGGGTGCTGGAGAGGAGCTGCAACAGCACGGGAAGAAGCAATTCCTTTCCTCTAAATCTGGATGAACACTTAGAGACTAAGGCCTAATATTCATGTAATGACAATGGTCTCCTGTAAGGACAAAAGAGCAAAACCCCATTCTGTTTATTTCTTTCCTTTGTCTCGGCCCGTTGTCTCTTTGGGATATTTCACCAACAGAAGTCAACGGGCTGGTGAGTGGAGGCCCTCCGGCCCCGGCCAGGACTGCGCTTCCCGCGGTGGCCATCGGGGGCTGCTGCGGGTCGATTCCGTCCGGCGGCCCGCGGGCTCCGGTGCGTCCCTGCGCTCCCCGGCACGACTGGGAACGTCCTAGCGGAGGTGGAGCCCCAGAAACGGGGATGCAGTTAAATAAATAAATAAATAAATAAATAAATAAATAAATAAATAAATAAATAAATAAATAAATAAATGTTTTTAAAAGCCAAGCCAAGGGCATAGCGAACCAGCTGGCACCTTCCTTCCGAATTAAAGCATCCAGGAGACCTCAGAGCAAGGCATAGACTGGAGATCAGGGTAAGATTTGGAGAGCAATTTTTCGACTTCTCGGATCCAGTGAGAGCCAGGAATCGTCTGGTGGATGCGCCCGAAGGCGCTGTGCCTGCGCAGGGAGGGCCAGAGATGCGCAGGGTGGCCCTGCCCGGTACCTTGCGTCCATGGGGACGAGCCGAGGCTGCTCGCAACACTCCTGTAACTTGCCCTCAAGTTTTGCTGTGAAAACAAAAGAAAAGCAAACAATTCCCTTCCCCCAGCCCGAAAACAAAGCTCGGGCACCACCCGGGCTGGTCGAAAGGACTCCATTGTCGTTTTTAAATGAGATATCTTTGCAACGGCTCGCCCCTCCCCGAGCCAGCGGGGAGCCGCCCGTATCCCTGGAAGCGAGAGGTAGCGGGGAACAAAAGGCAGACTCCGAAGTGACACTGGAAATAAAAGGGAGCTTTGGTTACCCCCAGGGAAAGGTCGAGGGGGAAAGGTCGCCTTCCCGCCAGCGCACGTACTCCCGGCGGGCGCGGGGCGGCGGCCCCGGTCCAGAAGCAGCCTCCCGAGTGCGGGTGAGCGCGGAGCCGCCCCCCGGAGTGGCAGCATGGGTCCAAGGGCAGGGTCCAAATCAAACTCGAGGGCAGAGGGGGGCCGCGCCACATCTCCACTCCCCGGCAGCCGGGGAGCTCCTTCCCCCGTGGGGCTTCGATTCCTCCCGCGGAGTTCTGTTCCCTCCCGAACCCGGGTATGGCGGCCACACGGCACCCACCGGCGCCGGGCCGAGAGCCGCTGTCGTCTCAGAGAGGGCAGGGTGAGGGCTGGCAGGTGGCCCACCTGCAGGTCGGTTTCCTCTTGGCAGTATGTGCAGGCGACAGAGCTGGGGATCAGAAATGTGAGCGCAAATATGTGCTCGTTCACAGCCGCTCTCGAAGGTATGCACCTCACCGTGTATGTGTGCATATCTGGGTATACAGACACAAACACGTAACTCCTGCATTATCTGAGGTAATATACTGATAGCTGTATCTAAAAACTGATAAATAGTTCAATCCTGGCAAGATTCTGTTTGTAGGTATGTGCTGATACTAAGTATTGTTGTATGTATTTACATCTGTGTGAACCATGCTTATATTTTTAACTACAAAACACATAACTTTCTGCAAATTGTCTCAGCCACCTCTGGTGCAGCCACATTCTGACACAGCACCAAATTTGCTTTGTGTCCTCAATGAGTCCTGCACACCTGTACTGACAGCACTGTGGCAATCTACAGACGTGGTGGGAATAGCATGCTTTGTGGCAATGAGGCCACTGCACTAATAGCTGATTATAACGGTGCCGGGGCAGGTGCCAAAACACATCCCAGCACGATGCTGCCGGCGGCCCTCCGTGCCCGCAGCCACCACCCGGGGCAGCGCAGAGGCGCCGGGCCTAGGCGTGCCACTGGGTCCGGGCACAGGGTCCCCGCCCGCCCCAGCGGCCTCGGAGCCCGGCCCTGGCACCTCACTGCTGGCCCCTCCCTGTCCCTCTCGGCCGGGAACGGCCCGGCAGAGGAAAAGCCGGGGGTCGGAGCATCGGGTCAGAAGAGTTCGGGAGCCAGCCGGGAAGTGGTTCAGGAGGGCAAAGCCTCGCGAGTGGGTCCTGCATGCGAAATGCTCCACGCCCTGAGCAGCTGGAGGAGCAACTGGGCGTGCGCTGCAGAGGGGTGAGAATTTCCCTTTGGGGCTTTGCTTGGTTTGCTTGCTTAGATCCCCAGGAGAAGAGATAGTGACCAGTCCACTGAGGCATTCCTCAGCTTCACAAAATGACTGGGGAAGGGTGGCTATTCCCCGAAGGGAAGTAGTCTCGCTGAGCCCCACCAACACGAGCGCTCGGCAGGACCGTGCTTCAGGCTCAGGGTTGTGCCCGCGGTCACAGCCACACGGGGCCGCCCCGCGCGGCCGCTGCGGGAATGGCCCCTCCGCTCCCTTCCTGGGCTCCGGGCGTGGTGTGCCGGGCACACTCTGGAGGGGTGCGCCGACACGCACACGGCACCAGAGCTGAAGTCCTTCTGAGGGTCGGCCAAGAGGGAAGTACCGCAGCCAGCTCTCCCAGCGCCGTGGGTCATCTTTCCCCTTTGCAGGCTCGGGGCTTTGGGAAGGGAATTTGAATCTTTGCGCGCATGTTATGCTTCTGCTAATAACCAGCGCAGAAGGAAGTTTATCCCAACTCTCACCTCACCCGTTCTAAGCCGGACTACCTGGCTGAGAGAGGGTTCGTTTCTTTCTGTTACGAAGTTGCATTTGAGGAGCGCAGCACGCATCGCTCGGCTCCTGCCCCCCTCCCCCCGGAGACTGCAGCCGACCTGGCTCGGGGCCGGGCTCAGGATGGACGGCTCCCTGCTCTGCGGGAGTCACGGGCTCCGGAGGGGCTTAGAGGAGAGTGGAAAGAGTTTGGGACAAGGGCCCCGGGTGGGAGCCGAGCAGCCTTCTGTGCCCACCGCAGTGGGTGGCGGATCCTCCAGCAGCCCCTCGCGGCGCTGCCTGGCCGAGCACGTTGGGTTCCTTTCGGGGAAGCACAGCGGCTCTCATAAAAAAGACATTGTTGGCTTTGGAGAGCCCTGCGCGCTCTTTCAAAAGGCGCTCCTTGAGTTCCCAGCCCCCGCAATCCAGTTGATGAGGAAACGCGCTGCGGTGTTGGTGGCACCATTTCCATTGGGATTGGCACCGTTTGATTGACAAAGTCTCACATTCTTCCACCTCTCGAGTGTTATCAAACGGATTGTGTGGGGTCAGAAGCTATTGAAGGGACGTCTGTGTAGCCGCGTTCTGCAAATACGGGGTGAAGACCATGCCTTTCTCATGAAAATGCTTCCTCCAGGCAAAACGCGGCTCATCTTCCCTGCTCTCCTCCTTAGCATTTCCTCTTAACTCGAGCGTGTCCCTAAACGGCAGCATCAGGTAAACGAACGTAGCTCCAGAGGCAGCTCAAGCAGGGCCCTGCCGGGCGCTGCTCCCCCGCCCCCCCGGGAATGAGCGCGGACATAGCTCCGACAGTGGGGGCCGAGAGGAGAGGGGTGGGCTCCGAAAAGGCGGCAGAGAGAAGCAGCCGCGGCTCGACTGGCCACGCAGAGCTAATTGGGGCGGTAAGGTGGATCAGGGGCTGCCCTGCTCCATCTCACTGGATCGATCCGGAAGGGCTCAAAAGTGCAGGTGGGATCTTGCGGGGTGCAGATCCTTAGTATTCACAGACAGCGCTCAGCCCTCTAGGAGATCTCCACCCCGCTGCTCTCGCTCTAATTCCCCTCTGCCAGCCCCCGTGCAGGGTCAGGGCCGGATTCGTTCGGCTCCATCTCACCAAGCAGCGTTTCGAGGGCTGCCCGAGCACACCCCATCGAAGTGGCGGTGCCCGGGACAGTGCACTATGGGCAGTCCCCAGCCCGGCCCCGGCTCCGCACCACCGTCCTTCCTCCCGGGACTGTTGTGACAGTGGATCCTTCGGTATTATTTGTTCCTCTATCCACACCCTCCTGTTCTTTAAGGCCTATAAAGCAGGCACGGAGGTAATGGTCGAGGAATCCAAGGGAAACAGAAGCAAACAAACAAGCAAAACCCCACAAGGTGAGGTCTAATATCTCTCTCTTTAAGAGCAAACTCGAAGATCTTACTGAAAATCGCGCGCAGAAGGGGGGGGGGGGGGGCCCGGGGGGGGGACGGGGGGGGGGGGGGGGGGGGTGGGGGTGGGGCGGATGGGGGGAAGCACAGGAGTGGGAGGTAGGGGGAAATTAATGTCCCAGGGATCTGGAAGGAAGTGATCCAAAGGTCCGGAAAGGAAAGAGGCCGAATTCAGAGCAGCCACCCCCCAGCGTGAAACGGCCCTTTTGCCTGCGGGACACGGCAGACCCCCAGAAGCCCATCTTGGGGCTGGGGGGAGCCAAGCGGGGCCAGAAGGGCCGAGGGCCTGATGGAAGGAGAGTCCCCCGGTGTATGTGTGTGGAAAAGCTCACCTCTCGCGGAGCTCTAAAGTGTAATCAAGGCTGAGCCTTACCCTTCAAGGATGTTAACTCTCATACGGGAACCTACTTTCTCCTAAACGGTTTCTTGCCTACTGAATGAGAGCCTCCCAATTGAGGCAAAATGATCCTTATGCGCTAATATCGAGCGCAGTCACAAAGCGACCGGCTATTTACGCTGCCACTTTAGACAAAGATATTTAGTTGTTCCCGGGTAGCAAGTGCACTTTTGCATTTTTAAGCACGAACCAGCCGAGCACCAATATATTTACAAGTGCAATTACTAAATAGTTACTTGACACTTCAAAGTCACTGGGTTAACTGTACCTTCTCCGTAATTTCCTTAATATTCAGGTAATCGCTTTATTAAACGAGTTTCCCAGGGCTATGGGCCGGGGTGCAAATTGCCTAGCGGAGGTTCCTCCCTTCCTCCCGGACCGCCCCGCGGTACGCGCGTGGGGACCCGGAGCTGTGACGGGCTGCTCGCCGCGTGTGTGTGCGCGGAGCTGGGAGTGGGTTCTCCTTTGTTCTTAAGCCGGATCCCGTAACTGATCCGAAAATGGCAGAAATTGATGTTGATTCTAAGTGGCAGGTGTTAGCAAGGTTGGTGAGGCAGATGACCCGAGAGGTCTTCTCCATGCAGCTCCCGCGCTGTATAAATAACCTTAGAGAGCAGCTTCGGGTTCAGAGGGACTTCGGGAGCCTGGAGCAGCCTTTGCCTTTGGGAATAGGGAGAGACGTCTTGCTCTAAGCTGTTTCAGTAGCGTGTCGCTCGGAGCAATTTAACTGCTGCTCGTTTTTATAAACTTGCATCTTCCACCTCTCTCTGAGGTTTAAAAAAAAAAAAAAAAAAAAAAAAAGACAAGAAAGCCTTAGGTAAATGGAACTTGTAGGTTCAGGGAGAGATACGATCCTCGCACAAGGGGTGTCACTCCGAGGGTCTTAGAGGGTACAGAAAGGTTCCTGGGATATCAGGTGCCAGGGGTGCCCGGGCAGCGGGAGGTGTGCGGATCGCTGGCTGCGGAACCCCTCCCGGCAGATCTGGGGGGTAGAGGAGGGTTGCTCCGTGTGCCCAGTGGCAGCAGTCCCGTGCCCGCAGCTCTCCCGAAGGCCACCTGCCAGTCTGCCAGCCCACCCGCGTCTGATCTGAAATCCCTCCACATGGGCAAACGGGGGCTTTTGGCATTGCTCTCCACTACCGGTCCACAATACTGTAACCCCCAAGAAAAATAAAATGAGTTCTGCTCACGGGGTCTCTCTCTATTTCCATCTCCCTGCCGCTCTCTCTCTCCCCCCCTCTCTCCCTTTTTTTTTTTTTTTTGAGACATAAAAAAATCCTGACAAGTAAAACTTAAAGGTGTTTACCTTGTCATCAGCATGTAAGCTAATTATCTTGGGCAAGATGTAGGCTTCTATTGTCTTGTTGCTTTAGTGCCTATGCCCCGCCTCTGGTGGCAGCCTAAAACCTGGCGTCTGGCTAAAACAAACGAAAGGCAGCCCTGAGCCTCCACTCAATCCAATTAAGGCGGACTTCGTCCACTCGGTTACGTGTACATCCAACAAGATCGGCGTTAAGGCAACACCAGAATATTTGGCAAAAAAAAAAAAAAAAAAAAAAAAAAAAAAAAAAAAAAAAAA